GGTGAAGGGTAAGAAAGTACACAATACTGGGGAAGCCAACGCAACTCGAATATGAATTGTGATTTCATAATTTTGGCTATGCTCTTTCTCTTTTCTGAAATATTCTTTTATGATTCTTTAAAAAGATAAATGTTTTTGTCCTTGAAGGCCTTGTTTAAATATCATCTCTTTGATAGTTGTTCCAAATTTGTTCCCTTCAAAGAAGAATATTTTCTCTCCATTATATAGTTTATAACATTTCATCATAGTTCATTGTATGTGATTGTTTCCTTGAGGAAAGAGACTTGCCTAATTAAACTTTGGATTTCTGGTTATTAAGATATTTTAGTTTTGTTGGTTAATTTGTTTGATAACATCAAAGCACTCTTTGATTATTTAATTTTACTTAATAAAACATTTAAAATATGTTTGTTATGAAATTCACATTAGATATTTTTCGAGTTGACCTTGTATGTGTAGTTTGCACTAATATAAAGAATGTAGAATATTTCCTGAACAGATAAAATTTTTTGAGTTAGTAATATCAAAATAATTTCTTCCCAACCTACCCTGCAGGCATCATAAGTTCCTTCCAAATATCCAGCACAAAACATTCCAAATTTTATATCACTGCCATACACATGTGGTTGCTTGCACACAGCATCACTTATTATTTTCAATCTGGCTTCTTGAAGATCATTTTGGGATTCCCCTTAAGGAAAAACAAAGTAACTTCAGTATTCACAATCAGAATCTATACAGTACAGAATGAGGCTAATATAAGAAGTCTCTAGAGAAGAAAATTCTGGTTAAATCTGGCATATTTAAATAATAATTATTGTTCTTATCACATTTTTATGAACACTTCTACAAACAAGAAAATAATTTGAACTTTTTTCCATAGAAAACCTTTAAAACAGTTGGCTTTTTTTATTTAGGGAGGCATTTCATTTTTTTTTTTTTAAGTTTGTATTTGTGGATTCCAGACTTCCCCCAGAAACTTTGCATACCTAGATAGTTTTCTTCCTTGGCTTGATAAAATAACTATAATAGTGTGCACATTTATTTTATCCTCTACATGTTATGAAGAGCTTTCATATTTATAATGCCATTTAAAGGCAATGACTTTTTCTTAATGTATTATAAATTTGGGGCTCCAGATTTTAAAGTAGATTCTCAGTCTAAAACCAATAATGTGGTAGGTAAACATTGCCTTAAGTGGAAAACTCAAAACAGCACAAGCATTGATTCTTTATACCAAACCATAATGTTAAAATAGCTGGGAAATGGTGACACTATGGTAGACAGAATTCTAAGATGGTCTCCAAGGTTCTGATGTGAATCCCTTGCTCCAAGTATGGTATGATCTATGAGTATGATGGACGTGGCAGCTTGCACACGGCATCACTTATGATTTTCAATCTGGCTTCCCTTGATTAGGTTATGTTATATGGCACAGGTGAGGGGATTTACAGATATAATTAAGCTCTCTAATCAGTTTGACATTAAAAAGGGCTTAGCCTTTCTTGAGTTCAGAGACATATTCCTAGTAGCATTAAAGAAGCAAGCCCTCATGCATTTTACAGCTGCAAGAAACTATTCTGCCAACAACCAGTGAGTTTGGAAGAGGACCTCAAATCTCAAATGAGATCATAACCCCAGTCGACATCTTGATTGCAGCTTTGCGAGACCCTAAGAACAGGAATCAGCAAAGTCATGTCTATACTGCTGATGCACAGAAACTGTGAGATAATAAATGAGTGCTGTTTGAAGCTGCTAAATTGGAGGCAATTTGTTATACAGAAATAGAACAGTAAAACAGATACCAATTTCTTTAGAAAATCAATTCAGGATTTATTTCTGGAGAGTTATTTGCTAACACTTTTTAAAAAGTGCTCAGAAAATTTGTGTAAAACTCAAATACTCTAAGGAGTTTTTCAAGTCATTCAGTTCTTTGAATTATATATATATATAACCTACTACATTATCAATTAAAAAATAATTTGTGTCCAGTGCTGGGAAGGGTAGGGTAAAACCAACAATCTACATATTACAGGTGACAGTGTAAATTCATAACTTTTTCAGAAAATAAGCTAGTTAAAATTTATTTCAAGTTATAAAAAGTGTAGCCCATAATTTTGGACATCCCTGAACAGTTTCTGTACTACTATGGGAATGCTCAATGGCATTTCTCACCAACTATTGATGTTTTCAAAGAACCAGCTTTATATTTCATTAATTTCCTCTATTTTTATGTTTATTTATTTCCACTCTAATCATTATTGTTTCTTTCCTTCTGCTTGTTTTGAGTTTATTTTTCTCTTCTTTTCTAATTTATTGCAGTAGGAACTTATTGATTTGAGACTTCTTTTCGAATGTATGCATTTTGTGCCATACGTTTTCTCCTTCTGCATTGCTTTAGCTCCATCTCGGATATTGATATGTTGTTTTGTATTTTAATTTAGTTCTACATATTTAATTTTTTTTCTTTGAGACTTCTTCATTGACTTAGAGATTTAGAAGTGTGTTGTTTAATTTCTAAGCATTTGGAGACTTTCCTGTTGTCTTTCTGTTATTGATTTCTGATTTGATTCCATATGGTCACAGAACATATTATGTATGATTTCAGTTTTTAAATTTGTTAAGGTTTGTTTTATGGACCTGGGTATGGTTTAGGTGAATGTTCCATGGGTGTTTGAAAAATGTATTCTGTTGTTGGGTGGAGTGTTCTATAAATGTCAGTTAGATTCTGCTGTTCCTCACAGAATATTATGGCAGGTACATTTCTGTGTCAGCCTCAAACTCCTGGTAGAAAACTATTCTTTCCACCAAGCCAAAGGGGATTTGAGATGCCCCTTTCCTCAAGCAGCAGAGAATGCAAACTCTATCTTAAGAGAAGACCTATCAGCAGCAGTGCAGACATTGTGGTATCAGACTTGCAGCTGGCATTGCATAGAGAGCATCACACAGGGATAGATTTTAATGCTGCTAAGGGAACATTTGCTTCTTGTACATCTGTCTTGAAGCTCACCCTTTTGGAATTGCTTCTTTCTCATTCTATGTGATTCTGGCCAGGCTGTCAAATCATATGCCTGCTTCCCTGGTATATGCATAAGAGCAAGTATTTGAGTTGGCCCATCAATCCGAGTATCTCTGGACACAAACTGGGCCAAATCAGCATCATTTTCAAGGATTAATGTGGACTCTGGCAGAGAGAGGGACAAGTTCTTCCCTCCATTTACTGAGGATGATGTAAACCCAGAGCTGCTGTTGATCACTTTTGCCACTAAGTGTCACTAGACTCCCTCAGAATGAAGACAGCATAAGAGAAGGCAATAACCAAGAAATAGAAAGATATTCTCTTGACATCATATGAACTCTTGAATCCAGCTATGTGAAGCCAGGCATCGCTTGACATCCATGTTACAGGCCCAAATTTATCTGTCTCTCTTTCTTGTTTTTTTTTTTTTTTTTGGCTGTTTGGGTTTTTTTGTTTTTGAGTTGAATATGTGTCACTTGCAACACAAGAGCCCTGACTAATCCAACCAAGCTGTGTGGAAGTGGCTGGTAGGATAATACTGATGCAGATTAAAACACATTGTCCTAAGTAGGCTTAGTGTTCTGTGATCTTTTCTGAGATACCCACCACCATAGAAAAGTGCTCCAAATCCTGTGATGTAGACAGTTGAATTCGGTCGAAAGGATGCAGAGGCTTCTGGCAAACAAATTCGGCGTACGTCATCAGTAAAGGTGATTCTGGGTGAGAACTGTACAACGGCAATGTCGTATTCTCTTGCTGGGGAGTGATATCTCTCATGGGCAATGATTCTTTTGACATTTCTTTTCATTAAGGGAGGGTTGATTGTTGTTCCAAAGCTAACAGTCCATTGATGTGGATTTGCATTACTAGAAAGGATTAGAAATTAACAGAATATATGAACTGTACTACATTAATTGTTTTAGGCTAGGAAATGAGAAAATATCATCCTGGGACTATTTGGCTACAATTATAATTTTATTTGACCTTTTAAATGTAGTCTATTGCTACTGTTTTGAAAGATAAAATATATATAAAGAGCATCTTAGAGCTGAAATCAAAAACAGAGATTAGAATTTTAGAACTGGAAGACACATAAAATATCATTCATTCATCCTTTTAGCAAATATATCTTGAACACCTATGGGCTGGGCATTATTTGAAGTGCTGGGTCTAAAGTGATTAACAAGACAGATAAGGCCACTGCTGGCAGGATTATTAGATTCTAGTGAAGAAAAAAGACTAAATAAATTAACAAATATATAAATAACTTCAGACAATGATGAAGGCTGTGGATAAAATATTTCAGCAAATATTTATTGAATACCTATGTGCTGGGCAGTATTCAGATGGAGTAGAGTGACTACGTGTTTAGGGAAGGCTCTTTTGAGGACATGACATTTAGGTTGAGACATTGATAAGGAATCATCCATGAGAAGATTGGAAAGATAAGTTCCCAGGCAACCTTCCCAAGGACTTAGACCAGATGGGCTTCAATTCAGGACATGGAGAGAAGAATGGTGGGGGATGAAGTTGGAGAGGTACCAACCTTATTGGGCAGGGACCAGATTTATAGTGCCTGATATGTCTAGATTTTACTCTAAATGATATAGAAATCCACTGGATAGTTTTAAGCCAGGGAGTAATATAGTCTTATTTACATTTAAAAAAATAACATGGGCTTTTTCTGGAAAACAGATTGTTGGAGGGCAAGGGTGGATGTGGTAAAAACTGTCAGAAGACTACTAGTCCTATGAGAAATGATCAAGTATGGGTAACTTCTAGCTTGTGAAGTTGAGTAACTGGTGGATTAAGGTATACGTAGGGATCAGAAAGATCATCTAGTAATATAGCCTTTGGTTTCTACTTAAGGAAAATAAGGCCTAAATGGTTTAAATTATTTGCCTTGTATCACATGCCTGCCTGGTTCTCTCTGCTTTTGTCTTTACAGGACACTGTCTCCCACAAAACCTACCAATAGCAAGATTAAAATCCTGAAGTAACTAAATGAACTAGCAACATCCATTAGAGATAAGCAAAGAGGGAGAATCTGCCCATAGATACTTGTTTCTCAACCTAATTATTTCTTAATATGTAGCTTAGGAGCTTTGGTGACACAAAACGGGTAAGCTCTAGGTTGACAATTCAAATCTACCCAGCGGCTCTGTGGGAGAAAGTCCTGGTGATCTACTTCTATAAAGATTAAAACCAAACCAAACCAAACCCAAACTCATTGCCATTGAGTCCTTCTGACTCATAGCAACCCTATAGGACAGAATATAACTTCCCTATAGGGTTATCCAGGGATTGGCTGGTGGATTCGAACTGCCAGCCTCTTGGTTAGCAGCCAAGCTCTTAATCACTGCACCACCAAGGCTCCCTCTAAAGATTACAGCCAAGAATACCCTATGGGGCAATGAGGGAATTGTACTCTGTCACATGGGGTCAGCTTGAGTAGGAATCAACTTGAAGGTACCCAATAACAACAGCTTTAGTCCTGGAAAGAAGCATTTAAGCATATCAGTGGGGGTTAAGTCTAATTTGACCATTTTAATTATGCTGGAAATATTATTATTTTTTATTTCCAAGGTAACTACATTTTTTCATACACCATTTTGATATGCAAAAAGACTCTAATGAGAAAAGCTAAATAAAAGATTGGTTTGTGAATACACTTGTTCATATAGCATAAAATAACTGGTTTGTAAATCAGTAAATTGTGATTTTTATTTGTGAAAAGCTGTTCCCTCAACTTAATCATGCTGAGGTGAACTTAACATAAATCAAGTATTTTTGAGCTACAGATATAAACGCTAGACCTTGAATTGTGTTTACTCAACTCAGAATGATCATTCTAGAACTTTCAAACAACAATGGCCTGACTGTTTATTATGTTTATTAATGTCAAAGCCTGGAAGAGACACCTGATGTGAAATGCTCAGTCAAGAATAAGAATAAACTTTCTAAGCTTTTAACCTGGGCCCAAATCAACTAGATGAAATTTCATGGTGATAAATATAGTCATTTAGTTCCCAAAATAAATTGCACAAATTCAAAGTGGTGACCCTTGGTCTGGAAGCTATTTGTATAAAAAGGATCGTGGAATTATGTATATTATTAGCTGAAAAATAACCAATTATGTCATGGGGCTTCTTAAAGTGTTAACCTAATACTAGGCTGCAACAATGAAACATAAAAGAATATCGGTAGAAAAAGTCATCTAGTCCTCTCACTGATGTAGTGGGATTTGAAAGACTGAGAGATAGGATTTGACATGGAGAAGACTATGCTTATTTTCTTCTCTACCATCTCCTAGTATTGTGACCTTGAGCAAGTTACTTAATTTTTCCTATCCTTCTCAGTCAAAATAGGTCTTACCAAGCAGGGTAGATATAAGAATTATATAAAACAAATCTTAAGCACCTAACCAAATATTTGTAACATACTAAACCAAAAACCAAACCTGCTGCCATTGAGACGATTCCGACTCATAGCAAGCCTATAGGACAAAGTGGAACTGCCCTATCGGGTTTCCAAGGAATAGCTGCTAGATTCAAACTGCCAACATTTTGGTTAGCAGCGGAGCTTTTAACCACTGCATGACTAGGGCTCCTTGTAACATACAAGAGCTTAGTGAATGGTGATAGTTGTTGAAATAAGAACACTGCCAGGTGATTATTGTCCATGCTTGAACTTTTCTTCAGATGGGGGCATCTTCTTGGCCTTAGAGTTCCTTTTTTCTCCTTAGAGCCCTTTCATCTTTGAGCAGTTCTGTTGGCAAGTTCTTCCTTGGATTGAGTGTAAATTTGATTTCCTAATTCTCTTCCACATAAAAGTACTTCAGATATATGAATAAACTATTATCTCTGCCAGGATAAAATTTTTGTCTCCTAGGAACAGTGTTTGTCAAACTTTAATGTGCATACAAATAACCTGGAGATCTTATTAAAATGCAGCTCCTGAGTTAGAAGGTCTGGGATAGAGCTTGAGATTCTTGCACTTCTAACAAACTCTCTAAGTGTTGTGAATGCTACTGGTCTGTGGGCCATACTTGAAGTGATAAAATCCAAGGTATATACTGTCATCTTTTTTTGCCATTGAAGACTCTACTCTAAGAGCATTTCATTGTGTCTTGTTCCCTTTACGTTTGTTAACTAGGACAGAATGCATTACACCAGATAGGATCTGACCAACACGGAGTCTAATGTCTTTTTTATACTGGGTTCTGCATTTCTTTTAATGCAAATAAATCACAGTATAGATTTGAGGGCAACTGACTCATAGTGAGCTCACTTCCAACAAACCTTTCTAAGTAATTTTCACCTGTTAAAGCACATTTCCCCTTTCTGTACTGAAACACTTTGATTTTTGGACTCAAATTTGAGCCTTGCATTTATACCTTATAAAATTAATCATTTAGTTCTATCTCATTATTATATATATAATTATATATATATATATATATAATTATGATGATTGTAACATTTCTGGTGTTTCTGTTTTTATTTTTACTCAACACACCTGTTTTCCCTTCTACCTGTGTGTCATCAGCTAATTTGTTGAGGATAATTTCCACATTTTCTTCTATGCCTAGAAAGTATATTGTCTGGAACATGGTACAGTGTAGATATTTTGGTAAGTCATAAACATATCCTGAGAATTTCAACAGCAAATCTTAATCATTACTCTTTGGGTAGAGTTGTTTAGTTCTAAACTACATATTACCTTTTTATTCAATTTATTTTGTTCCTTCCAGAATACTTCCCATTTTACTTTGTCGTGTGACATTAGTCATATCTGGAGAAGTGTGTTTAGTTCTTGGCATACATTTTAAGGGAGACACACAAAAAAATCATTAACATTCAGAAGAGAAGAATAAAGATGGTAGGACATCTGGGAGTTCATACTGTGGCAATAAACTAATGATGTTTATCTTCACATATGGTATGGAGATTCTTCCTCATTTTATAGTGTTTGGTTTGAAAAAGAGAAGCTAAGGAACAATTCTCTTTGAATAAAAAGACTGTTATGTAGATGATGAAGTAAATTTGATCCCTGTTGTTCCAGATAAAAGAATAAATATCACTGGGTAGAAGTTATTAGGTTGCAAATTTGATATTCAGTGTTATAAGGACATTTGCAAAAATAGAACTATCTACCACAAAATTTGCTTACTTTAGATAAGCTCCTTGTTACTTTGAGGTAGTCAGTCTGAAATGAGGCACCTCCATCAGGGACTTCTGTACTTTTCAATGTGTTTGGACTTTTGATCCCATGTTTTTAACTTTAAGAATTCAAGTCTCTATATAGATTTAGACTCCTCAGTAGATGGAATTTGCTTTGGTAGCAAAAGTCAATTTTAGAGCTCACAAGGAACTTGAGAAGATCAGGTTGTATCCACTAAATCCGGCTGCCACCTGCTTTACAGAGATTCTCAGGAAGCCCTTGTTATCAGTATGAAAAGTGCTACTGGAAAAGGCTGTAAAGTGAATCTACTTAGAAAGAAATCCAGAATTTTAAATGTAATAGTGATAAACTGTTTATTATTTTGAAAAGTAAAACCAAAAATTATGAAAAAACAGTAATTTCATCTTAGATTTAATACAATTTATGTTACAACTATAGTCAGAAGGAATAAAGAATGAAGCAAGTGTTAACTATTCCTTTGGGGGGAAAAATATGAAAACACAATATTCTCCATGTCTGGTGTGCACCATTAACAAGAGGTGCTATATGATACTGAGGTCACATTGGGTGGTCAACGAATCTTTCTTAATCCTTTTTTAATTAAAGAAATCTCTTTTAAAGTACCTGTCCTTATCAGCCTGGTGATTTTCACATTTTGGTTGTGTACTGCTCTCATCCACCAGATCTTCTTATATCAATGCTGTAAATTTTATATGAGCAGTTCTCCATCATTACAGTTACCAACTTCATGCATCTTTTGAAGATTGCAATTTCACTTTGCAATTAATTTGCATATTGTTCATGATCAACATGTGTCTGGCCCAGATGTTTGGCAGAAACAGAACTAATTTTATGTGAAGATGATTGTTTGAGAAGGGATTAATTTTTAAAGTTATTAGTAATTATTTCGTGTTAGGAATGACTTCTGCTTTTTTACACAATTTCCTTTTTTAAAATGCTGGGGACTTGATTAACCAATATTAGGATAATGACTACTACTCTCTCTGCTGTAACCAAACTTTCCAAATCAATATGCAAGTAACATTTTAGGAAAGAACGTGAAATTTTTTTTTATTTTACCTCACTAATATTTGGGGATTGTATTACTCAAAACATGATACAACTCAGCGATTTTTACCAGTAGTGGGGTCCAACTTAAGGTCAATAACTTACTTCTTAAAGCAGTGTGCTGCAGTAACGAGCCATGTATTACTAATCAAGCTGGCTCCACACTGATGTACGTTGTTACGCTGAAGCGAAGCTTGCCAAGGCCAGGCAGACTTGGCTGCAGTGTCACCAGACATTATTCTGTTGACAATTAATGGAACAGCTCGTTTTCCACAACCTGAAAGAAATGAGATCTTTAAGTTATAAGAAATGGCTCTCTGAATTTTATTTGATGCAAAGAACTTAATGGAGTGTTTGCAATGCAATAACCTTTACATCTATCATTATACAAGCATGTACTGTATCAATATTCTTTCCTAATGTGTTGATGTTTTGCTCACCTCCATATTTATAGATACAGATATATGCTGCCTACTGAAGCTATGTTAAACTGCAAAGGGTGACACCCCAGAAACTGTCAAATCAGTCCTGAACACTTGCAGTAGCAATTATCCAGATGTCCTGGGAGCTCATACTGAAAATATTGTTTCCCCATTTTGGGTGATCCTGCAGTGCTACCTTGACATGAAGTCATCACCAAAGAACAGCTCCCCCTGGCCAGACAAGTAATTGTTCATTTGTTGAAACCCACTCCCCTATCTATTTTTCTGATAGACATAGTTCCTAAGACGTGCAGAGTTAATGTATCATGACCAGTCCCTGGTCCATTATTTCCACATAAATTTCATCTTTACAGTTGTTGGGGGGAAAAAAACAACCAAACGTATACTATATTATCTTCCGGAGCCCTGATGGCGCAGTGGTTAAGTGTTCAGCTGCTAACCAAAAGGTTCGCATTTTGAACCCACCAGCGCCTCCTTGGAAACCCTATGGAGCAGTTCTACTCTGTGCTATAGGGTCGTTATGAGTTGGAATCGACTTGATGGCAATGAGTTTGGGTTTTTTTGGTATATTATCTTCATCAGATCAAAGATTATTATACTACTTAGGGTTCCTACGAAGAATTAAGCATATTTTGAGCATGATGCCAATAAAGAAAATATGGTATGTTCTGTTCTTGTCCCAAATAATATAGGTATCCAAGAAGAAAATTCATTTTAATGGCATTGATTACACTCAAACTATAGCCAGCCATTTTAGAAATGTCCATTCCTCTGTTATTACTCTGTTTTAGACTACCATTTTCTGTCCTTGCCTGCAGCCTTTCCCCTCAAATCCATTCTGCATAGCCTGAGCAATCTTTCTGAAATGTGTAGAATCTTTCAGTGACTCCTCATTGCCCTCCAAATAAAGTTAAAATTTTCAGCATGGTTCTAGCCTTTGATTAATGTTAACCATGCCCTTTCCTCACATTTTCAAGCCCCATTTTATGTTCCAGATATATTGACATTTCTTTCCATTACAAGAAATGACTGTGTTCTTGATTGCCTGAAGATATTTTTACATACTACTCCTCCTGTCCATAACTCTTACTCCACCTTTTACTTGACTCATGTCTTCTCCTTTGTCCAATTTCAGGGATCACTTTCTGAGCCCATGAGACCAGGCTGGCTGCCTCCTTTGTTGACTCTCATAGTACTGTGAACTTTCTCTGTCATAACATTTATCACATGATTTTAACGTTTCCTGATTTATTTATCTATCTCCCCAATCTCTAAACTCTAACTTATTTCAAGATGGAGATCATGTCTTATTCGTAATGGTACTGTCAGCTTCTGACACACTTTTTGGCACTTGATAGATGTTTTAAATAGTTGTTGAATAAATGAATGCAAATATTTACTAAGTTTGCAAGACATAGAGGTGAATGCATAAACACTTTTGCTCAAATTCATCACCACTTTGGTAAAAATCATTCAAAATGAAGGGCATGGTGATATGAAGTGAGTGAACGTAGCCATCACACTATGGAGATAAGTATATTAAGCTAATTGTGCAGATCAGTTACAGATAATGGGATCCATTACTTTCTCATTATTTTATTTCTCAGCAGAAAGCACATTTCATAGAATTTATAAAAACTAGAAAAGCAAGTCCACTTATTCCAAACCAGAAATAGTTTCTTCAGATTGCCTAAAAATTTCCATCATGTCAAACATTTTTCTTGAGCATGACTAAAAGATCAGGCTCAGAGTTAGAAAAAAAAAGTGTTGACACCTTTACATCGATTGCCCAATTCTTATTCTCTCCTCCCAAAATGTGGGACATGGATAGGAAACTATGAGCTAATGTTTGAAGATGTCCTTTCTGATATAGAATTTGAACTTGTTTTTATAAACTCACTAGACTTACATGCTTGGACAGTTAACTTCCCTGTTGATGATCTCATTGCTGAAAAAAAAATAGAACAAATAATGGTGATTTGATATTCTCCCAGTTGGTGTCAATGACTAGGAATTATCAGAAGATAGTGACCATATGTGCATTCTAGACAGGTGAACATATTGATCAGTCAAGAGAACAGCTATCTGATATGACAACAAACACATACAATGTTCGTGAAGACTTATAGGAAACCTCTAACTGGGTGGATGATACCCTAAGCAGTGAATGGTTAAGGCATCTAAACCACAAATAGCTTGCATTAGTACAGGGCAGTGGTTTTCCAACGGTGCAGATTGAAGCCTCTTTGGATTCTACTTCAGGAGATGGAAAAGAGGGAGCAAGTAAATGGGTCTCCAGGTGTCAAAACCAGGCTTAACAAGAATAGATCTGCTTTTAGCTTATTGTTTAATATTTTATATAAGCCTTGTTTTTGATTAGAGGGTTGCAGGGCAGAAAAAAGTCTGAAAACTCTCATAAAGTATACTTAAAATATTTCTAAAATATACTTTTTAATTATCAAAATGCTTTTTCTGAAGAGTAAACTATTGTGTATCCTTACCCAACATCTGCTGAGTACTGGTAAGAGAAAAATACTGGACTGAACATAACTAAGATTAATCTCTCAATTTACAAGGGAGTTAGGAATGTAACAAAGGAAACACAAACATTTAAACTTAAATTGGTAGAAGGTTGCATGAAACTATGATGACTTTAAAGTAAAAATGACTTACTGAGCAGAATGAGGTTAGAACTCTTATTTATTTCTACCAGGGCCATGTTTCTCAAATTCATATTCTCTGCATCTTATTCCTCTTGTGCAAAATGAGAATGTTTGTACTCACTTTCTATAAGTCCCACTAGGGAAACTAGTGATGTTGAACTCTACAAAGTGGGAAGTTTTGAAAATATTCAATTCAAGGATACCCTTAAAGTTATTCTCATATCCTCTCATGGTAAAGAATCAATTGCTCAGGACAGATTTTCAGTGCTTATTTTGTAGAAGAAATTCAATTTTCTCTGAAATGTAGCTTAAGGTAGTAAATGTCTTGCTTCACTTTTTAAAAACTAATTTAATTTTTCCCTAGTAGTAATGCTTTAAAAATGAAAAATGGCATAACATTAGAATTCTTAAGTTAAAACTTCTTCAACCTAGTTTGAGTAAGATACAACCCATCCATTTCCAGGAATGGTATGAGGGTGTGTAATGGTTGTGAGTGTAACTGGATTTTTAAATTTAGGGAGAATGATTGCATCTGGAGATAAACTACCCATACTCAAGTAACTAGCTGATGAAGATTTCTATTGTGTCTAATTGTCTAATTTTTATTTTCCAGGTTTTGGAGTGAAAAGAAGCATTAACATGCTAGTCTTGAGAGTGACCCCTAACACACTTCTGAGTTGGGAGTAATCTAGATATATTTAGGGCTCTACATGCCACAAGCATCTTGATGGGAGCAGGAGCATACATGCAGGCAACTGACAAGGAGGTAGCTGCTCTGCCACGATCGTAGAGTTGGCGATGTGAAGAAGGGGATTTTAACTTTGCTTTGATATATTACATCATGTGAAGGTTATTTGTCAGAACAAGCACAGATCCTTGACAAAGAAAAATATTCTGGATAAATCTTAGGTTGAAGGATCATTTCTAGACTTAGTCTGAAACCTCTGTGGTTTTCTATTCTTTAGAAGTGAATGTAGTTCGTTCACTGGAAGCGAATTGGAAGTAAAGTAAGTGTTCCTGAGAGTGATGTTTTTGCCTGTGAGGATTCTACTGAGCTTTCCACTAAATGGGCTCCTTCTAAGTGTTAGTAAACACTGCTCGTTTTACATTTAGAAGTTATGAAACCCCTAGCTCTTTCTACTTCCAATCACTTGAGTCAATGCTTTCAGGTTTTCAAGGCATATGTGTAATTTAAAAGCTCTCTAAATAGTAATGGTCTTTATGCTTATATCATGTTTTCTAATTTCTTATATATCTTCATACTATCTCTATAATTTAAGGAAGAGCAAACATTGTCATTGTGATTTTACTGATGAGAAATGAAGGCAAAGGCATGGGCGAATTACTTGGGTGGTCCAGCAGTGACTCAGTGGAGTTAGAATTAGTCAACTGACTCTCAACTCTGGTTCTCCGTCAGCACATCCTGCCTTTTAATCTAGTACAGTCATTAAAATAAGCTGAAGCTCATAAGCTGAGCCTGTATGAAACAAAAAGGCTGCAGCCTATCACCATTTCATGCTTCATTTCTGGTTTCAGATAGGAATTTAAAAACATTTCTGGTTTTAAATTCCTGACAGGTTAACTGGTTGTTGGGCATTACAGAGACTACATCATGTAACTTTTCGGAATGGCCTCTATTTCACAACTTTGGTTAATTTGTTTCCTCTTCTAACAAAGAAAAGTGGATTAAACTCTTGACAGGTTCTTCTCTCCTGGGAAGGGAGAGGTTCCCATCTTTATTCCCTGAGTAGCTGACTCTTCCTCGCATCAGCAAACTCCTGCCTATCCCTTTCCCTCAGATTTTCACTTCCTGGTCAGGTTCCCTCTTGAGGAGTCAGCCAGACCCTTACAAGGGCAAGGCATCCTGTTTCACATCTGATATAAATCACTTACTTTCACTTTCTTCTGTGAACGCTCTTAAGTCTGATGTCCATAGGAATTTGTAATGGAAGTCTGCATTTACCTGCTGGAAGTGGATGCTTGTGGAAGCAGCTTAGTGTACAAGGATAAACAGGTTTCTGTCTAGCTGGGCTCCTCAGAGCCTTTAATATGGTAATATTAGTGGTGAATTTCCAAGAGATGAATATCATACATAAAACTTTCAAAATGAGTTTGACCACAGAACCTTTTTTCATGGAGCTTCTCAAGAAATTAGTGTTTCAGGAACAATTTGGGGAAATGGTAGTAAAATAGTTTTGAGTGAGCTCTAGGTTTTGGATTTTAGCTCTTTTTACTTACTGAATTCCTTTTTTGCTCCCCTTCACATCTGTAAAGGGGAATTTGCCTATGTAGCAGGGATCTAGAAATTAAATTAGATGCTACATATAAAGGGCATAGAAGGGAGTTGATAAAGGTCCTTTTAGAGATGTGATAATGATTTAATGAGCTAAAGGTGAAGGAAAAAAAACAGAACTATGTGTAAATGGTTCCAATAATTTATTTTTGCTAATTCAGTGATTTTTAAAACATTTTTATAAGATGGCATTAGAGGCTCCAAAGTTAGTATATCACCCAAAGGTTCATGGGGGAAAAGTTAACAAAATCTTTATAACATCAATATATACAGAAACTATTGGTAATTTTTAAAAGGCAAACATGAGTTTGTGTTTTAGGAATGTACCACCCAGAAATGCATTTGTTGCTAAACTCTCAGTGTTTTCACTTGCTTAATCACAGAGGCAGTGGCTGGGTCAGATTAACCTCTGTTGGTAGTAAGCTTTGTTTTTATTTTGGAACAGTTAAAACCACTTGATGGTTAACTTCAGACATGCTTTCATCAGAGAATATTAAAGACTTAAAATGTCAGTTTTTTAACTTAAAAATTTCTTCCAGCTAAATTCTGGCTATTATTTGAAGTGGACATAATGGCAAGGAAATTTTAGTCATAAAATTAACTTAATAAGGTACTTCACATCACATCAAAGTCACCTACTTACCATTAAACTGAACTGACGAGATATTTATTGGTAGAGCTCTTGTGTTTCTTATATTCTGTTTTAAGATGCTATGGATTTTCTTCTCTCTTACTGCTCTTTGTTCAGTAGAGGGGAACTGGAACACCATAACAATATCTGCTTTCACACCATCTTCTTCTGGACTAGGATGCACAAGAGAAAGGTGCATATTCAACAAATACATCCAGTACTCTCCTACGCTCATTCCAGTATCTTCTTCCCCTGAATTGTGTCTTGGTTACTGAGAGCATCAAGGACTAATCCTTGCATGTCGACACTCTTCTAAATGTCACTCTCTAACCAAAAGTCATCTCTTAATGTGTTTTCTTTTCTAATTTTCTTTGTTTTAACTCCATTTCCATCATTAATTTGAAGATTTGTTACAGCAATTGTGTATGACACAGACATCAAAAAATGATTCAAATCATAGACTCTGAGTGTTGGAAGAAACTTTAGTGGTTGCTTAGGTCAATAACCCATCTATTTGATACCTGAATCACCTCTGCAGTCTCCATGGCACATGGTTCTCTAACCCCACTGGAGCAGTTAAAATAATGGGAAATTCACCTCCCTAAAGAGACTCATTCCTCTTTGGTCAGCTCTGATTTTAAGAGAGTTCATTTTGAGTTAAAATATGTCTCCCTGTATCTTCCAGTCCAGTAGGCTTAGGTCTGCCAGCTGGAAAATACATAAAACATCAAATTCCTCTTCCACATAAATATTTGAATATAGCAATATTGTTGTCCCTGAGTCTTCTCCAGATTAAACATGTCCAATTCCTTCAACTTTTTTTGTATAGACAGGTGTCAAGTCTCTTCACCTGTGGGACTGAATTTGCGTATTCTTAAAATGGAAAATCAAACAATCAGAATCTTTTTTAAAAATTAAAACCAATATGTATTGATCTGTCAAGTATCTTATTTTTATACTTCAAAAAATCAAAACTCTAAAAAACACAAAAGGCCTGTTGTTTGGCTTAAAAAGACGATGTCGTGTAAGTTGAGTGGGATTTTATATATTCTGGTCCATTTAGGCCCTGGAACATTAAGTTATGAATAATCAGAATTTTATGTCAAATTGGCAAACAGATGACCAAGTAATTTCCCCTATTAAGTCATGTGATTAACAATGTTTATTAGGTGGAATCTTTCTGGACCCACACGAAAACTCCCGTATTGTTTATGGCTACAAATCCAAAGGAATTCCTAAGAACATGGCAATATGGCTGGAATGCTATCGCAAGTCAGAATTTGAAAACAGAGGCATGATGTCTAGAAAGTTCCAGTATTTATATGTTCTTCATCTCCTAAAATTGTCCAGTTCATATTATAAAGTCCTTTCTAAGGTCATTAATTACTCAGTAAAGGTGTAAGCAACTTGCAATAACTCTGCCATTAGTGCAATAATGTCTGTTGGTGAAAAAAATTATTATTATTTCCTTCTAATAAATCCAAGTCTGGATATATATATATTTTCCTTAAGTAGATGAGCTTGGGTTTGTGCCTACTAAATATATGTTCTGTTATGTGATTCTCAAAATAACATAATTGAAACCTCCAAGCAATTTCTACAACTGGTATCAGTCTTCCTTCCCCCTCTACCAAACATTATTGTAACAGAAATATATTTTTTTTAATTTGGACACGCCTCCTTCCACTAGAGCCTTATTACAGGTAAAACTTATGATCCCATTTTGTAGTCAATTTTGCCTTCTTAATATTTTTAGAAATGACATGTCTGGATACAAATTGGTGCATATGAGTGATATGCTCCTGGGTTTTCCTGAGGGCAAGAGTTTTGGTAGGTCATGGGCCTTACAATCAGCCTATGGGCATTTGAGTCCTTATTCTCTCACTTGGAGACATTGTCACCTGAGGAATTTTGAATAAATCACCTCCCCCCCCATTCTTAGTTTTCTCATTTACAAAATAATGGTCAGCCTTATATTTCAAGACTGTTAAAGAGATAATGTTTATGAAAAATCCTAATCAAGAGTCTAGCCCATAGAGGCACACAATAAGTGAGGGTCCCCTGACTCCTTTGCCCTTTGTCCTTCCAGATTTGTGAGTCCACCTTTGCCCAGACATACATACGTCAGTCTGACCACTTGGCTCTTGATATAATGCTTGCTCAAGGCCGAATCTATAAATATGTCGTCTACCTGTAATTATAAGAGAAAGTATATGTTAATAAGATATACTTTGGCAAGGATATACCCTTGATTAAATAGTAAAGGAATAGAAAAAAATTAATATGTACAATACCATTATTTAAAACAGTGGTTCTCTGAACCCCAAACAGTGCAACAGAATCACTTGCAGAATTTTTTACAGATTATAGATGCTGGGGCCCTTCCCCCAGAGTTTTGGTTTCAGATGTTCTGGAGGAGACCTAGGTATTCACATTAAAAAAAAAAGTCTCCCCAAATGATTCTTATGTGCTGGAAATAGGTATCTGGAGTAGAAATTACCTTCCTTAAACTCCATAGAAGGAGAATCAGAAAGTTACAGAGCAGAGAGGACAAAAAAGAGGAAGGCCCTGTGGGGTATGGATAGAACCATGGCTCAGGGCTCAGGGGCGTCACAGCCCTAGGTTTGAAACCTATCTTGCTGCTCATGAACTGGGAGACCCTAGAAAAGTTGTTGAACTAATTTAAGCCTCAGTTTCCTAACCTGCAAAACAAAGATATTGATGTGCTACTCTTAGGGTTATAAATGTTAAACAAAAATAAAATGAAGGGTATAGTTTGATAGTTACTGTTGGTTTCCTACCCTCATCCTGGCACCGAAGGCCTCAGCTTTCTCTTCAGTTCTTTGGCTATAAAACATAGGGAGGAGGTGTTAGGGGTTTAGCAGAGAGCCAAAGATTTTTAAATTGCTATTGTTGATGGTGTGCTTTAGGATAAATCAGGGAGGAAGTGAGCAGACTGGTGTTCCAGGATTATAGTTGTGTTACTCAGTTTATGTAACCAAAGAAGGAAAAGAAAAGCTTCTGCTTCTGCTTCATATGTCCCCAGTGTTAATTGCCTGTGACGGCATTATTGTGCTGGTTTATCACACCCTGGTGACATAGCAGTTAAGAGATGCGGCTGCTAACCAAAAGGTCAGCAGTTCAAATCCACCAGCTGCCCCTTGCAAACCCTATAGGGGTTCTACTCTGTCCTGTAGGGTCGCTATGAGTTGGAATCGACTCGACGGCATCAGGTTTGGTTTTTGGTTTAGTGCTCACTTGAAGTATCCCCTAGTGACCACCGGGTGGCAAGAGTGTCATTCTGAATGCAGGTACTACATTTTACATTTGACGGTAGGTGAGATGAACTTGCAAAAAATTTTCCTAAATCCTTTAAGTGGGAGCAAGAAAACCAAATAAAAGTAGATGGGGGTGCTTTTCAGGGAAAAAGGAACAAGTTATACCTTCCTTAGCACTGTTAACCCATTGCCATCAAGTAGATTCCAACTCACAGCAACCCTACAGGAAAGAGTAGGGCTGCCTTATAGGGTTTCCAAGGAGCGGCTGGTGGATTCAAACTGCTGACCTTTTGGTTAGCAGCTGAGCTCTTAACCACTGCGCCACCAGGGCTCCTTAGCACTATTAAACCAAACCAAACCAAACCCAACCCATTGTCTATTAGGCATTCATAAATGTGTTAGTTAGGAGCCCAAATATTCTATATCTAATTTAATCTTTACAAATATCTTATGAAATAGAATTATTTTCATTCCTGTTTTACTAGAAGAGTAAACTGAGACCCAGAAACATTATGTGAATTTCCCAGCATCACACAGATAATAAACTAGAACTTGAACCCAGGTCTTCTAACCCTAGGGTCCATCTCTTTGTACTCAACCACACAGCCCCCCTGTTAAATGTGATGTAAATTTTACTTCAATTTATATCATAGAAAGCATATCAATAAGTTATAAAAAATAATTGATTGACCTAATGATAAAGTATAACACATATTATTTTGGTAGTAACTGTAAAGTTAAGATCAGAGATAGCATTTAGAAAACAGAGAAATTGCTAGTATCCAAAATATACCTTATTTGTACTTGAATAAGAAAAACCTAAATGGAGTATGGAGATATGGGGTTTATATACTAGAAACAAAACTATTTTTGAAGACATGTTTTGTAAGAGTGACATTGTTATTTGTAATCATTTAGCTTCTTGTCATACACAGACAGTACTATTACTCATTGTCTGGGGGAGATTCAGAAGAAAAGAAAAGGTAAACAAAACACAATAGGAAGAAAAAGTGGCAAATTTTAAAAGGAAAAAAAGTAAATAGCAGTTGTATATTTAAAGAAGTTTGGTTTGTAATTATCCTCTGAGTAAGTTCCACCCATGACTGATCCTTTGGCAGTTCATAACTTGTTGATGAAGAAACTGGATTAAGTTTTTGACTCTTTGGATGACATCATTCATCCGGCAGCATGCCTACTGAGAAGAATATCTAAGCCCAGCATCAATTCTGTCTTTGAGTGATTAGTCTGTTTGGGGAGATAGAAGCTGGAAGAAGAATATAAGAAAAATCTAGGCAGAAGTAACTTCAATAATCAGTAAAAAGAAGTTTCTTCTTCATAATTCAGATTCCAGCGCCCTGCCCCAATAACGCCTCATTCAGTAGGTCTGAGGTGAGGCCTAGGAATCTGCATTTAAATCATCTTCAGGATATCCAGGCAGTCTGAGGGCAACAGTTTGAGAAACCCTGGGATACAAGTACAAAGGGTTCTTACACTAGTGGAGTTTCCAACAGGGGAAAATCAAAGAAACCATTAACATAAACTTTATTGCTGAATGGAATGTATGCATAAAATAGCTTTCTAGAGAAATTGAAATCAATTTTCCCTGGCACATCAAAGTTTACCTCATCAGAAACTCTCTTTCTGCCAATACTTTAGCATTCTAAGTTCCCAGAAATTTTGAAGGATACTATTTTGTTGTTTTTTAAGCTCTGTGCCAGCTTGTTATAAATTCATTATTATTTACAGATCCTAACAGAGTCAGAGGGGCCCTGGTGTCGCAGTGGTTAAGAGCTTGGCTACTAACCAAAAGGTTGGCAGCTTGAATCCACCAGCTGCTCCTTGGAAACCCTTTCGGGCAGTCCTGCTCTGTCCTATTGGGGGGCTATGAGTTGGAATCCACTCGACGGCAGTGAGTTTGGTTTTTGATAAAGTCAGTAATTTATAAAATCTGTCCTACCTTGGGGCATTTATACAGTTTTGTAGTTAAGAGTTAGTCTCATAACACTGAACAAAAGACCCCCTTTCAAGGGAATGCCTCTTTCTTTTTTTTTTTTATTGTACTTCAGGTGAAGGCTTACAGAACAAATAGTTTCTCTAGAAACAGTAGTACACATATTGTTTTATGACATTGGTTAACAACCCCACGACATGTCAACCCTCTCCCTTCTCGACCTCTTTTTTTTTTTTTGGTGAAAATATACATAGCCAAAGATACACCATTTCAAAAATTTCTACATGCATAGTTCAGTGACACCGACTATGCTTTTCCAATTGTGCTGCTATTCTCACTTTAGATGAAGGCTTACAGAACAAAATAGTTTCTCATTTAACAGTTAGTACACATGTTGC